TTGAAAAGTTCACACTACCCAGAGCAGAGCAATCTAGATTCAATACAATCACTATCAAAATTCCAATGACATTTTTCACAGACATAGAAAAAAAAAAAACCTCTAAAATTTGTATGGAACCAGGAAAGACCCTAACCAAAGCAATCTAAATACAAAGAACTAGGCTGGAGGCACCACACTACTGGATTTTAAAATATATTACAAAGCTATAGTAATCAAAACAATATAGTACTGGCATAAAAATGGACATATAGACCAATGGAATAGAATAGTGTCCAGAAGTATATCCATGCATTTATGGTCAATTGACCTTTAACAAAGGTGCCAAGAACATCCAATGGGGAAAGGACAGTCTCTTTAATAAGTGGTGTAGGGAAAACTGGATAAGCATATGCAGAAGAATGAAATGGGACCTTTATCTTACACCACACACAAAAGTCAACTCAAAATGGATTAAAGACTTAAACGTAAGACCTGAAACTGTAAAACCACTAGAAGAAAACATAAGGGAAAAGTTTCTTGACATAGGTCTGGGCAACAAGTTTTTGGATATGATCCTAAAAGCACAGGGAACAAAAGCAAAAATAAATAAATGGGATTGCATGAAACTAAAAAGCTTCTGCACAGCAAAGGAAACAATCAGCAGTGCAAGAGACAACCTAAAGAATGGGAGAAAATGTTTGTAAACTATATATCTGATAAGGAGTTAATATCCATACAAATGGCCAACAGGTATATAAAAAAATGCTCAGCATCACTAATCAGGGAAATATAAATATAAACTACAATGAGGTATCACCTCACACTTGGTAGAATGCCTATTATCAAAAAGATAGAAGATAACAATATTGGCAAGGATTTGGAGAAAAGGGAACACTTGTACACTGTTGGTGGGAATGTAAACTGGTACAGCCATGATGGAACACAATATGGAGGTTCCTCAAAAAATTAAAAATAGAATTACCATATGATCCAGCAATCACTCTACTGGGTATATAGCCAAAAAAAAAAAAAAATCAGTATGTCAAAGAGATATCTGCATTCCCATGTTCATTGCAGCGTTATTCACAATAGCCAAGATAAAGAACCAATATGGAATCAATCTAAGTGTTCAACAGAAAATGGATAAAGAAATTACCAGAATTTTGTGAGCCAATCGAAGTCACATTGGTGGCTTGAAATCAGCTACAGTGGGAATGTTAGTACCATGGAAATCAGCAAATGCTACAAATCAGGGCTCTTTTTTTTTTTTTATTTCAGCATATTATGGGGGTACAGATGTTTAGGTTACATATGTTGCTCTTACCCCCACCTCCCCCCCAAGTCCGAGTTTCAAATATGTCCATCCTTTGTGTGGTGCGCATTGTACTTTTTGTGTATGCAAATACCCGTCCCCTCCTCCCTCCTCCTCCTTCCCCTCTCCCCTCTCCCCCCTGCCCAACAGCCAATAGATGTTATTCTTATATGTCCATTTATAAAAATAGAGCCATTGACCAGTGGAACAGAACTGAGAACCCAGATATAAAACCGTCCTCATATAGCCACCTAATCTTTGACAAAGCAGGGCTTTTGTTTTTTCCCCCGGGAGCTGGCTGTGAAAGATTTACCAGCTCGTTCCTGATCTCTGGACTGTCCTTCCCAATTCTGATATAAGTAGCTCAGCTAATTCTAACATGCAGCTGGAGTTGAGAACCACTGCTCTAGCTTTTCCCTTCTCAGCCTGGGACCATCACAGACCACCCATGGGCCTGAATCGCCGTATAAGGCTAGGAGGAAGAGAAATGAGAGGAGGTATGGGAAGCAGTGATTTCCACAGACACCTCTGTGAAGGCTCTGGTGGAAGTTAGTATTACAGAGTGATTTGAGAACATAGGTTTTGAAGTAAGACAAGTTCAAATATCAGAAAAATGATTCTGGCTAGAAAACATCCTTTCTAAGCATCAATTTCCTTAGCTATGAAATTGGGATGATAAAAGTTGTAAAGACAAAAAAGATGATGCAGATAAAAGACTTACTTTATCACTTTTAAATGATGATTCAATGATACACTCTCAAAAAAAAAAAACCCAAATGTACTCTCCTTTTAATATTCTTTGTTTATTTTCTTGGACATATAGTTTTTTCAGAATATAAACTCTTTGAGTACAGTGGTTAGGTGCCATGTTTCTTAAGACTGTCCCATGTCATTTAGAGGAGAGCAGCATATGTTCTAGATGTCTAATAAGTGTTTACCAAGTGGTTCCCCAGGTGTTGCTATTTACATGCAGCGAAGATGAATATCCAGATCATCAGCTGATAGATTCAGCAGTGGATCACAGAATTTGGCTGAACAATGGAATCATCTGGAAAACTTAAAACACCTGTGCCCCGACTCTATATACCAGTGAAGCAGAATCTATTGATTAGAAGTTGATATGCACCAGTATTATTTGAAAACATCTCCAGGTAATTCTAATATGCAGCCCAGGATGGACAACCATTGATTTAGATCATGGGTTCTCAAATGTGTGGTCTGGGGAGCAGCTGCATCCTAGGAACTTGTTGTAAATGCAAATGATCTGGCTCCATGCCAAACCTAGTGAATCAGGTGCCAGCGTTTAGCAGTCTGTGTTTTAACAAGCTCTCCAAGTGATTCTGATTTTGCCTGAAGCTGAGAATCACTACTAGAACTTTTTTTTTTCAGAGCATCCTGAGAATGGCTTTATAGCCTCTGAGTTGGATGCAGCAATGTTGTCTCATACACAGCTTGACAGATATGAGATTTGTCAAGAGGGAGCTGCCACTGTTAGGAGAGGAGGTGAGGGGCTGGGAGCAGTTACATCACTGTGGACCACAGTTTTCTGTCTGCAAGTCTGGATCAATGAAGAAGGAAAACTTCTTGTGGTCCTTGCTCATCATCTTTCTTAAAAGATCTCATCATTCCTTCAAACCAGGCTCTCTAGAGGGATGGTAATTACTGAAATCCTTTGTTGTTGTTGAGGCTACAGAGGAGTAACAAATAGAGTGATCCAAGTGGGTAATAGGTTTTGAATTAGAAGTGAATGGTCTGTTTGGCTCCTACACCACTGGGCGTCCCCTCGTTAGTTTGCAGATGAGGACTAAAATCTAGCTGAGGGAAACCAGCCAAGGCCGAGTCCGACTCAAAGGGCTACAAGTGAGGGAGTTTGCCTTGGATCGTGGTGAATATGGGTAGGGTGTGGAGAGAGTGAGGCAGCCTCCCTATGCCGGATCCCAGACAGGGAGGAAAAGTTAGGAGTTTGTGTGGAAGCGTAACGAAATACTTGAGAATTTCTGAAGCCCAGCTTGCTCAGCCCTGTCTGGCCCAGTCAGCTCGACTTATGTAAAGACAGAAGCTCTTTCGGTGAGTCAATATGCCATTTTCTTTGAAGAGATGGGGAAGCTTTCGGGAGGTTCAGACTCTCTGGGAGTACTGATTATCCGAAAACTGCCTTTCACCCATTTTGTACCTTCTTTCACTGTCATCCTCCCCAACCCCCAAAATGATTTTACATAGCTGTTTTACAGATAATGATTCCCGCTTAAACTGAGGGAGGGAAGTGGCTTATTTGGGCTGGAAGAGTGGCAGCAGGTTTCTCAAGGAGGTGCTGGCTGAGCTGGGGTGAATGTCGTGAGAAGGGGAGGCAGGAGTGGTGGATGTTTCTAGGAAAGGATGAGCAATGGGAATAAAGGTGACACAAATGAACATGGTGGTTATGTAGGGCATTCAAAAGTCTGTTCTGGTAGAAAGAAGGGTGTTTACTGGGAAATAGAAGATAGCAAATATGGTCATAAAGAACTGGGGACATGAATAAAAGGCCTTGAATAACAGTCTCAGAGATTTAGTCCTTATCTCATATGCAGCAAGGAGGAGGTGACTATTTTTGAACTGGCGAGTGAATGACACTATTCAGCCTATTGATAGATGGAGATTGAATTCCTACTATTCGTAAGAACTTATTGAAAGGATGATAGGATATTCTGGAAACTTCAGTGTGGTGGTAATATTCAGCATGGGGTAGGCAGAGGGAGGGGTGCATCAAAGAAAGGGCAGAGCTGGGAGAATACTTAAGAGCCCTGGAAAAAATTGTCTAAGGTTTAGAATAGATGCACTTAGACTACAACGGTGACCCGAGAACAGGATGGATACAGGAGAATTTTCAGTGGCAGAATTATTGGTGTTGAAGAAGAAAGAAGAATTGAAGCATATAGCAAAATATTAAGTCCAAGCCACCGAGAGACTAGGTATGGCCCACGGGGAGTTTTAGGGAGTCTATCAGCCTGTGATTCAGAGGACTTGAGCACTGGGTAGTAAAGAATGAGGAGGTTGTGGATGAAAGACTCAACATTAAAAGTATCCACCTTTCTAATAGCATCAGCAATTTCTGGAGCTATCTCCTATTTTTTTTTCACTTTAAACTGCTTTCATTAAAATATTCTTTAAAAATTTTCTCTAAGCTAGAAGCTATCTCCCAATTTTGAAAATTTCTAAAGGGTTAATCCTACTATTGGGTTGTTTTGCTTTTAAGAATATGTACAAGGGCAACATAAAATTAGATTTTTTTTTTTTTTGGTGGTGGTTTTGTTTTCAATTCCGGTGGCGGTCCTATAATTTTCACGAGAAAAGTTAATTCCAATGTGTCTAGTCTGTCATTCTTGAAATCCTCTTATTTTAATAGTAATTCATTTTAATGCTTGACTCTGAGTTTTAGTGAATATTTTAGAAGGAACCGAGGACTTTAAAACAATTTTTCTGAAGTCGATCTACTGAGGTGGTGTCTTTTAAACTCAGGAATTAACGGTTATTGCCCAAACGGGACCTACCCGGTGGTTGTAGCACCTAACAAAGAAAGGTGCCTTTCTAAGGACAGTTTTTATTTCTCTTTTCTCAAACTATGCAGACATTATTAGACACTACGGAGTCATAATAAAAAGTATATCACTTAATTGTCATTGAGATAATGTATCATTTGAGGTTTGTTATTTCTACATTATAATGGATAATACGCCCTATTAAGCCTGATAAAATCTATACACAAAAATAACTATGATACATTTAATTTTAAGGCAACTCTTTGCTTTAAGTGTTCATCACTTAGGTTCTGGATTTCTCCAGTACATGTAAATTGGGTTCAATGCACAACATGAATATTTTTCAAAACCCAGTCTGTGAAAACTTTGGGGAACTGAGTCAACTGAGGTAGATGAGATCATCAAAGACAATAAAGCAACTCCTCCCCCACATTAAAAACAAAACCCCAAACACTTGTTTTCTTTGCTGAGTCAGGCAGGACAGAGCAGAGAGGTCTCATCTTTGAGGAGGGGGTGCTCACCTGGCAGCAGTTTCCTCCTGGCCATGGCGGCGGCCCGGTGGCTCTCATACTCCACAAAGGCAAAGCCCCGGTTTTTGGTTTTATCTGCAGCACTTGGGTAGACGATGACATCAACAACTCCTTCGGTGACCTTTTTCATCTCTGTTAAGATTTCTTCTCTCTTTTTGGTTTTTGGGATTCCCCCGACAAACAAACGGCAGTTATCCACACTGGCACAAACCCCTAAGAGACGCCCATTTCTGCAAAAAAAAGCAGGCATTTTGACTGATGAGCATCCTTGTGTGATTAAGGTTGAAGGCTGAGCTTGAAAATGTGTGGCCCTGGATCAGATACGGCCTGCAGATGTGGGATGTTTGTTCTTCATAATGTTTAAACTGTTTTTGGAGCATTGTGGCTACTTTGGAGAGATCATTAGATGTGTCCACATGGGCTCTACGTTTTCAAAAGAAAAAAATTATGTGAAGCTGAGCGGCATCTGCTCCCTTTAGACTATGTGTGGATTCACCAGTTGTCATCAACACTCACACTCCCTGATGCGTCCTAGTACTGAGGCCTCTATACCTGGCCCACGTTACCGTTGTCATCCCTGGCCAGGCACTTGAGTTTGCAACCCCTGATGTTCCCTTTCTTTTCCAGCCAAGGAGAAAAGCTGTTCTGATATGCTCTTTATGAAAAATAGCAAAAAATCTTGAACAGATTTTCACATATTATTTGGCCCACACAACGAGCCTGTGTGATGGGTAGAGCAAATGTATTTCCATTCTACAGATAACTTGAGACTCCAGGAACAACTTCTTATAGATTTTTAAGAGAGGAAACTGACCGCTGGGATCTCAGTCCGTGTTCCTTCCACTGTACAGAGTTGGTTATTAGCAAGTTGAAATTATATCTTCATTGGCAGCCATAGATTGATTAAACTAGTCTGGAGGACATTTGGCAAAATGTATCAAAAGTCTGAAGTGTACATCACCTTTGACCAAATAATGCCCTTTCTGGGAAACTGTCCCTGGGAAATAAAGATAAGCACCAAGATTTATGATTAAAGATATTCATTGATGCTATTGGGCCCATAAACTGAAAATGAGCAAAATATCTCACAATAAAGAACTGGTTTAATTCATTTCAACTAAGACATTTTTGGCTTTGGTGAGACTGGACATTTCCTCATCGTATACCATAGTATGTTTATCAACCCTGCTTCTTGCTCATTAAATCCCAATAGCAACACATCAGGTCATCCAAAAATGCTTCTGTACCTTTCTAAACATCCCTTAAGATGGAAATTACTGTTCTTGGCTGAAAATCACCGGTAAACCAAAGATGGACATTCATACCATAAAATGCTCTGCAGTTATTAAAAATAGTCATGGAGAAGAATATCAGTTTTAAAAAACAGTTTATAGTTCATGGGATAGTAAACAGTTCATTTTTAACCCATACTGGGTTAAAAAGCTATAAAGTAAGTATATAAGAAGGCCATTTTGATTAAAAATGTATAGAAAGTCTGGAAAGACAATGAAATGTCAACATAGTGGTTATCTTTCAGCAATGGGGTTATGGAGGAATGGTCTTTTATTTTTTCTGCTTTTTGTTGTTCTCCACATGTTACAGATTAGGCTTATGACTTTTATAATAACACAAAGTGACTGAAAATGGGTAAGGTATCCTTAACAGAAACCAGTCATGTGTCATGAATAAAAGCTCTCTGCCAGGTGAGTGGGAGATTGGTCTGATTCTCTTGGAACTAGTGGCTCTTGGTTATGTGGCAGGTGTTCTAAACAGAATGAGTCACCGTGCTAGTTGTCTCCTAGGCTTTGCTGAAGAACCAAGGACCATGTATCAGCTCCGTGGCAGATCTATGTCAGTCTAGCAAGCATTAGCTCAAGAATGTGTTTTTTGGCAGGGGGAGGGCCCAAAGGGTTGACAAAATGACCTTATAATTTTTTTTTTTAATTTAAACACTAAAACCCTCTCTTCCAAGATATTGTTTATTTAGAAATTATATTATTTTTGATAGTTAGGGGGCTGGTCATGTATCAGCTGCCAGCAGGGGGAGCCTGGCATTCCACATCCTGTTTTTAAATGTGTGTGGTTTGTCAGGCACCTTTCCTAGAATTGCTTGGAAACGAGCCATCTCTCAAAAGCTGAGGGCACAGCTTTAATGTCTCTAGAAGCCAGGCATTTAGATGACGTTCAGTGAATATTTGATGATAAGGAGGATGATATGACAATTGTGGATCTTTTCCGGATAGGAGCTTTATTTATGCCCTGAGAAATGGTAGCTAAAAGCAAATTGCAGGTTATTCTCTTCTCCACAGGAAAGATTCCCCCTCTGGCAGGACTGACCCAAGGCAGGGTGGAAATAGGCGAGGTGGACTCTGGGTCTCTATTCTGCTATGTCACATTCCATTTATCCTACCCCCTAATTTTTAAAGTAGCTCTATGCCTTTACCTTGCTTCTGGCATCCAACCTGAGCTTTGCCTGGAATCTTGGCCACTAATGTTCTCTTTCTAAATTCTTTGTCATATTTCACCTCCTTCTCTTCTCCCCTCTCCCATCACCTTCACCATAGCCATCAGCAAACATCTACAGAGCACCTGTTATATGTCAGGCCCTGATATTTATGTGCATTATCTCATTTATTTTTCATAACACCCCATGAGTAGCTATATTTTTATCTCTATTTTACAGATGAAGACACTGAAATTCATGAAGGATACTGTTAATTATCAGTGACTGGTGGATTGGTTGTATTTATTATTCATATCCTGTCTGCTGTCAAAAAGCATTGACAGGCCCCAGTGGGTAACAATGTGTTGAGTAGATACAACAAATCCTATTGGTACCCTGCATAGCCAATTCCATGGCCATCTCAACTCCAAAGCCTTCTGGGAATAACCCTTACTATTAGAATGTCCACATTCCATGAAAGACCAAGGAATGGGGAATCTTCCAATCCCTGAAATCATATGACTGTAATATTAAAAAGATACATTAACATAAAGCTTTTTGTAGCCCATTCAGAGTACTTTAGAGCATATTATTTCATATGGTGGATGCTCACAACATCTCTGATCTGGTGCCAGTGATGAAAGTGATACTCGAAGAGGTTAAAGGATTTGTCCAAAGGAACCTGAGCTGGACCTCAGGTCTCCTGATTCCTACTACAAACACTTCTCCACATATCACACAAAGTTCTTTTGGGTCCATGGAGGCATGGTGGGAAGGGAGTGTCCTTATATTTTTCTCTAAGACTGTGTTCCAGAATCCAACCTTGTCAATGAATGAGTGGGCTAAACTACTAGTCATCAAATCCAATTGATCTTCCTGTGACAAAGGAGTTTAAGAAAAATGACCCAGTAGTTGATTGATTTGCACAGCTATAAGGATAATATATGACTTACTTTGGGCCTATAGAAAGTGGGAGGAAAATAACAGTGGGAATTCTTTCTACATTTATCAGATTTAAGATCCCATCACTTTTAAGGTGCACCTCTATTTCAGAAAGGAACTAGATGTCAAAAACTACATCTAGAATTGATGAACTGTGCTATAGTATATAATAATTCTATCATTTGTTGACTTATTACTGCATTCCAAACATGGGGTTAAGCATTTAAAAATCTTTATAGTATCCCCACAATAAAACCTATGAAATGGATATTATCCCCATTTTATAGATGAGAAAATGGAGGCTCAGAGAGGTTAAGTTATTTGCTGGCACTCAAGTGAAGCCTGGCTGATCCTAAGGCTATTGCTTTTTAGCTGTGACATTAATCTTCCTGCCACGTGGCTCAGAGCTTCTCCTAAGAAAGGATTTGTGACAGTTTTCTCACCATATGAAGGTTTTAGAACTCAGACAATTTAATAAAGTTAGCCCTATTTCCAGTTTACTTATCTTTTTTTTAGAGAGAAAGTCACGTTCTGTCACCCAGGCTGTAGTGCATGGCATGATCATAGCTCACTGTAACCTTGAACTCCTGGGCTCAGATGATTCTCTCTCCTAAGCTTCTTGAATAGCTGGGACTACAGGCACACACCACCATGCCTGGCTAATTCTTTAAAAATTTTTTTTTTTGTAGAGTTGAGATCTTGCTATATTGCCAGGCTGGTCTCAACTTCCTGGCTTCAAGTGACCCTCCCGCCTTGGCCTCCCAAAGTGCTGGGGTTACAGGTGTGAGCCACTGCACCCACCCCTATTTCCAGTTTGTAAAAAACCAGTTATTGGTTGCACAGTGTCAGTTATGTCCTAGAACCCTCCTCTGGTCCTGTTGTTTTAAGTGTCATCTATATTTTGCTGACCCCTAAGTTTATATTCCAACTGTGACCTCTCTTCTGCCTCCACTGTCATGCAGACAGTCACCGCCTCAGCAGCTCCCCTGGGATATCCAATATGCATGTCAAGTGTAGTGCACCCCAAACAGAGCTGTTCATGTGTTTCCTGTTCTTCCTCTAGTCTTTTCCATATCAGTGGCATTACCATATCCACAGATACTTGGACCCAAATCCTAGGTTTCCTCCCTGAATTCTGAATTCTCTCACACTTTTAAATCCAACATCTAGCGGGTCTTGCCTTTTCAACCTTCAAAATATATCCTAGATCTGACCCTTTTTTAACTACCTTCACCACTAAGTCCCTTGTCCAACCACCATCACCTCTTATCTAGATCTAGACCACTCTGCAGCCTTCTACCAGGCTCTCCTTCTTCAGTCCTCACCCTGCTATGGTCCATTCTCCACCCAACAGCCAGAGTCATGTTTTAAAAACAGCAAATCTAATAAAACCTCTCCTACAATTTCCCCTTTTTATTGGAATAAAATTCAAATTCTTTAACTCAGAGTACAAGGCTCTCCAACTGTGTTGTTTTCAATCCTCCTCTCTCTCATGGGCTTTCTTTCCCTCGAACACATCCAGCTTGTTCTTATTGAGGGAACTTTGCACGTGGTGTTCTCTCTTTTCTGGAAATAATCTTCCCCAGGCCTGACTGTCAGGGCTGGCTCTTTCGTTCAAGTCTCAGATCAAATTTCACTTTCCCAGAGGGTATTTTCTGAAATACACCAAGTTAGGGTAGTCACTTCCTCACACAACTTTATGCCATCTTTGTGTTAATTTTTTCATGCTATTTTAAATAAAATATATTTGTTTATTATGAGGACAGGGAATTGTACCTTGATAAATTTCCAATATTTTGAACACTACCCAGCACATATTTATGAAGTAGATAAGTTAATGAATTTTGTTTCTTTGAACATTTCACAGAACTTAGTTTGGCACCTTATATAGTATTGATATTAAATATTTAATCAAGTTTATTTTTACTAAGAAAAAGAATGAACCTATTTTATTTCTGGTTTGGCTATTTTTTATGTATACTATTTAGATAAACTGGAAAGAAAAACAGATACAGGTGCATTTTTTGATTCACTTAGAAGAGGTAGATCTTACCTAATTTCATAATTGTTAAGTTGCTTGATTGCATTCTTGGCTTCCAGTTTATTTGAGAATGTTACAAATGCATATCCTCTATTGTTGCCATTAAAATCCATCATCATTCTCATTTCGTAAATTTTACCGATCTGTAAGTAATAGAAACAGAAAATTCATATTTGTACTTCTAAATGAACATGCACATACGCACGCACACACATACACACAATGTTTTCTGAAGTGTGCCTCCTGCCAGCACGATTTGGCATTTGCGTCCCATGTGGAATGATTTGCATACTTTCATGCTGGGTTCAGATCAGTTATTTGACTCATGGGAAAAATCAAGTTAAATAAAGAAAATCTGTAAAAGTGACATTTCAACTTGAGTTAACAGAATGTTTTTGACATAGTAAATGACCTTTCATCACAAAATTATCTAGAGATTTATGCCATGTCTCAGGGACCCGAAAACACATTTGTCATTGTAAGTACAAGTTTTTGATAGATTTGTCTATGCCCTCTCCCTTGGCCTCTGAAGTCCCCATAGTTTGATCTCTACTTGGTGCCACTCTATCACTGATGTTTGAAAGAAAAACCAAGAATTCTCATTTGGAACATTGCTAAACTGACTTCTTAGCTCTCTTTTTCCCCTGCCATGACCTCAAAATGAACACAGATGTGTTTCAGAGGATGATCTGGGGAGCCTTGTCGTTTTCTCTACCTGAAGGCCGAAGGTCAATGCTAGTCTTAGTACAACTGACACAGGGCCAGGACCTCCACAGTAGAGAGCACTCACTCTTATCCCCCTGACTACAGTGACTCTGCGTGCCCACATAGTACTCCTGCCGCCACCCTACTATTACTATTGCTGGCTGCTGTAGAAGGATTGCCCAAATCGACACCATGGGCATGTCTGGGGAGCAGTGTCATTAAGCATATGCCATTACCTTAGTGGCTGGTTGCTCCTCAGCTCAGCCCCACCTCACCCCAAGATGTTCAGTGATGGATACCTATTTCTTCTGGGCTCATTAGGAAAGAGTTTGAACATGTTTGCATCTGTGTTTCAGGTGTTTCTTGATGCTCAATTTTATTTTCAGTATATAAGATTCTTATAGAAGTCCTCATAATTTGTCCACGTGCCAGGTAGCATTATATGTATAAAATCATATAATGCAAAGGCTAAGTCATAGATACATACACATAATTGATTTTGGCATTTAGGAAAGAACTAAATTCTTATATTTACTAAATTTTTCAGGAATGTGCTTGTTTCTAAAAGCCACTTGGTAAATTATTGAAAATTTTAATTTTGTATTCTCCCTTTAATTTGGATTTGGTAAAAAAACAAAAAACAAAACACCTCGATTTGAATTAAAACTGAAGGAATTTATTCTTTAGTAAGTATATAATGACATTGAGAAGCCATATTCTTAATCTTATTGATGCATTAAGGTAGAAAAGAAATTCAGGCTTGCAGAAGAAAATTTCATTCCAGATTGAGATATATAGGCACATGTTTGAGCCATGACAAACATACAGATTCTTTTAATATGGCAATTTTGTACTTTATAAAACCATATTAAAATGTGAAGTTGGAGCAATAACTAATTTTAGGCAAGTTTTTGTAGAGTGATTGTGGGTAGACAGACACACTGAGTTTGCAGTAAGATGGCTGGCTGCCAGTGGAGAGATTGAGGAACGAGGTGTAGATTTTAAAGTCATTAGCGATTGTAGTTCAGACTGTCACAGGAAAAAGAGCTGGGTCAAGGCAGTGATAATTAAGGGACAATCAGTAACAGCTAGGAAGGTTTTAACTTTGTCCATGATTGAGGAATGGCAATTGGAAGAGAAATCATCACTGACCAAGAAGAGTGAGAGTACAGTGAAGAGAATAGTATTTTTCCCTTGGAAGATAAGAAAAACTAAATGTTAAATTTGGACTCACTTTTTCACATAATGGTATAAGTTCGTCCTCAAAAAGGTCTCGGGGAAGTTTTCCAATAAAAATTTCACAGCCCCTTTCTGGGGGTGCAGCATCCCAACCAGGTGGAGGGCCGCCATATTTTCTTTGTCCATTTTCCTGCAAATCCAGGGCAGGTATGAGAAAGAGAAGAAAATGATAAAATCAGTTTCTCTTTATTTTTCAAAATTATTTCATGATGAACATATTTATCATTGACAGATAATAATAGCTGGCTGGTTAGAGGAGAAAAAGTAAAGTCTGTTTTATGTGGATTATAATACCATGCTCTGTGTGTGTGTCAGTAACTTGCTTAAGATAGGCTTTGTTAAAATTTGTATAGTGCTGGGCAAATATAAGGGGTTATTATTTTTTTAAATTTTACTTTATTGTGGTAATAAAAGTTAGGAGATCTACCTTCTTAACAAATCAAGCAGCTATTTTTTTTGTTGTTGTCATATAAACTCACCAAAGCCTGATCATCAAAGGATCTGACTACAATTTAAATCTGGACCTCTGATTTCCTGTTGAGGGCTGTGCAGCGTGGTGAGAAGTGTCTTGGAGCCAGACTACTTGGCTCTATTGCTCCCTAGCTGTGGGACCTGGGGCAAATGACTTCTCAGAACTTCAGTTTTCTCATATACAAAGTGGGAATAATATCAACTTTTGATTATAGGAGACATATCAAATATGCAAGGCTTTTGGCATGTGCTATATCTTCAATAGTTATTAATTCCCTTCTTGCCTTCCTGGATTTTGGTTGTTTCATATGCCAAGCAAGGCAATGTGACCCCTAAATAAGAACATATGAAGATTAACATTTGGAGGAGTGAACTGGCTAATTTGCGGGCTAGCTGGAGAGGGACTTAAATCTATTTCCAAAGCTGACAAGACAGTGAAAAGAGTTTACTGATGCTGAATCTTTATGTGGGGAATAATTATGTTCTCAGTCCAAATAAAATTAACTTCTGTTTTTTTTTTTTCCTTTGTCCTAACAAATGACCTTTTCAGGAAGGAGTAGCATTATTGTTTCTTTGCAGTGCTAACTATTTTAGTATTTCTACGGATAAAACCTAAAAATAACTTCAGGGGCTCCAAAGTGAAGTATGGGCCTAGTACACCACTATTGATCTGAAATAGTTCATTTGTTGGGGAAAAGTAGACAAATTACTTTTTGCTTAGACACAGTCAGTTCTTTGTCATTACATTTCATTAGGATTTTTAGAGAGAACAATGGACCAAGTGTCAGTATTAACTACTAATTTCTATAACTAATATTTTAAGTTTTATGCTATAAAATGATACATGTTGTTGGAAAAAGTGAAATATAAAGTAAAAAGAAAAATTCCTCAATGTATCACCCTACTATCCTTAGATGTAGTTACTGTTAAGTGTGTCTGCCTTTCCAAATATTTTTCTATGTGTATTTTAAAAAGATATGTTGTTTAAAGACACTTTTGCGTGACAGTTGTTTGCTATTTAAAATCAAAGAAAAGCAGCTTGTAGTATCCCTGTTAAATAGTTGTATATGTCAATTTGAGTCTTAATTATTTTATAAATGTTAGCACAAAGGCTCCTTGCATCACAGTATGTAATTGATGTCTGTGGTCATGATCACTTTTTTTATTCTTAATAATTCATATCATGTTTCTTTAAACAATAATATAATAAAACAGGTGTATATGAGTCTTCTACCTTGCCTGGATTACTTTTTTGCTTCAAACAACAGTATTTTTAATCTTACTGATTATGTAAATTTTTGCCTATAGAGTTCTCAAGTATTTTTTTCTTTCTCTAATATTCTCGCAGGATTGTCCAGTAACAAAACTTCGGTATTACTGAGAAATCTGAGAAATGAAATGTTTTATGTTTATAGAAAAAAAAAACCCAAAAAACTCTTAAGAATTCAGCGGTCTGTACCTCAGTCAAGAATTTCCTAAAAAATGTAAAATTGATATTTTCAGAGATATTAAATGTTTTATTATAACAAATACTTATAGCACTTACTACATGTCAGATACTGTTTTAATTCTTACAACAACATCATGGGTTAAGGACTGTTGTTATCCCATTTTACAGAAGATACCGAGGCCCAGGGAGATTAAGTAACTTGCTAAGGTCATGTGGTTGGGAAGTGAAGAAGCAAGGATTTGAACCAAGGCAATAAGGCTTCAGAGTTCATCAGCTTAATCTCTACATTTTGTTGCTTTGACATATGAAATCCTGGTCACTTACAACAGACACATACATTAAAATACTCCTTATTTATGAATAAATGTATTATGCCGTTAAGTGGCAAACTCCCTAATGCATTTAGAACCTTTTTGAATTACCAATCATTTTATTACACAAACTATTTGGAAGAACATGTCTCACATCTATTGCTTTCTGAGAGGTATATTACTACAGGTTGAGCATCCCTAATTCAAAAATCCAAAATGCTCCAGAATTTGAAATTTGAGCACTGCCATGACACCACAAGTGGCAAATTTCACACCTGACCTCATGTGATGGGTGCACAAAATTATCAAAACTATTCTATAAAATTACCTTCAGGCTATGTGTATAAGGTATATATGAAACATAAATGAGTTTCATGTTTTGGGTCTCATTCCTAAGTTGTCTTACATATGTATGAAGATATTTCCAAATCTGAAAAAATCTAAAATCCAAAACACTTCTGGTCCCAAGAATTTCACATAAAAGATACTCAACCTGTATATATTGCCAAACTACCATCCTGCTCTCTAGACCAACTCTCTCCAACTGGGTGATGATGACTCCTCTGAGCCCATTTCTGTAAATCTTTGATGTCTATAAGATTGAACAGATTATTGGAATAAATTTAGTATAAATTTTGTAGCATTTTTATCCTTCAGATTCAAACTTTCTTACCGTAATAGTAAAGTTGCTATTCCAGAATTTCTGATTTGACAAGATTTATCCGATAAGAAAATAAATAGGCAACCAGCAGATAGACATTTTTTTATTTTCTCTTCAACTTTCTTGATTGCCATAATTGTTAAAAATGTCACCTAACTACTTTGCACATATCATGTGTATTAGGAATATTCATCTGCTTATGATCTGAAATGATTGGGCAGGAAAGCTTATTGTCTTTCTGTGATTTCTAAAAATACTTGAAAAAAATTCCCCAAGAATATTTTTCTGGGGACTGCTTGGAGTCTGAGTGGTTCGGAGATGCCCTGAAGTTCACACAGTAGGGGAGATTTGCTCTGCGAACCACCCACCGGGCTTGGAATGCAGCGGTGGTGGAAGTCCAGACCAATTTAAGACAGGCCCTGGGCGTTAGTCAGGGGGTTAGAATAGCTGTCCGTTACTCAGAAAGGACAGTCGGGCTCTAGTTTGCTGGTATTTCAGGCACTATTTTTGTAGTTGAGGAGTTTAAAATAGATAAAGCCTAGTTATAACTGCTTTTTTCCCTTCTGGCTAATGTCCTCATGGGATGCATTCTCCCCGGCAGCACAAATGTATTAATAGTTCACAGTAAAAGAATATAGATTTTAGTTTGTCATAAGAGAATGTTCATTAAACTCTGTGAACCTTTATTTTTCCAATCAAAGACTTGGAAAACTATTATCTCTTTGTAGTCACATATAAATAGGTGGAAAACCTTCAACTATGTAAATTAAAAATCGCGGATACAATTCTAATGCAGTGGCTTTAATGTAAATATTGGATGCTGAGTCTATCCAGTAACTCTAGGGTATTTGTAAATTCCTGTTACAGATATTTCAAGTTCCTCGTGGCAGAACCATAGAACCTTTAAGAGATTGTGTCTACCCTCTTGACCTTGGATAAAAACCATACCACCTTCTTCCATAAATCATTCTAAGCAATAAGTCTTAGCATGGAGGTTGAACGAACTGAGTTCATTTTGGCCACTGAGCATCTGAACCTATTACACATCTGGGGAATCTGGGCAAAAGTGCCTTCTACAGGACTGAACAATGTCAGATACTTGCTTTGCCAGCTTTCCTTGCAGCTGGGACAGTCATGGTTATAGTAAAATAAAATTGAGCTCTGATACAGACATCACAAAGGTGCAAACTTTAATGTTGACAGCCCGTGATGATAGATAGATTTTCTTAAAATGACAAATACGTGAGGTAGTTTGGGGTTTTGAATCTGATTCTCCAGATCCAAAGTTTCTGTGAATGAACACCCCTTATACACTTTTAATAAACTTTTTTCTGCTAATAATATTATTATTAGCAGAAAAGAGTTTTAGCTTCTGTTATTTGCACTTAATGGCAGCAAAAGCAGGTGACCTCAATTGAGTAAGGCACTATGCTAATATTTTACATGTATTAACTCATTTAATGTTCTCAACAAACTTATGAGAATGATACTGCTATTACCTTCATTTTATAGATGAGAAACCCAAGGCGTAGACTGTGTTCAAATTCATACAAGCAGTAAGCAACAGAGAAAAAATTTGGATCTTCAGTCTATGCTTGTTGTTATGACATTATTTATCTTTTGTTTTTATATTATCCCAATATACTCATTTTAGAGATGAGGAAACTGAGTTCAGATATATCATATGACTTGCCTAAAGGCACAGAAAACACTAGAATAAAGGACCTAGATTCCTGATTTGGTGAACTTTATGGCATATATAGCATTCAAAAGTTGTGATGATTTTTCTTCTCAGGCTTAATTCCTCTTGTTGTATGTTCTACCTGCTTTCTGGCTCAATTTCACCAATTGTAGAGACCAGATGGTTGTAGTTTTCCATAAAGGAGCTCATTCATAAAATGGAAGGACACTGATTAATCAACCTTCATTCAGTCTGTTTTTGCCCGAGTAGTAATTTCAATTTCGTTAACAGCTCTTTGGAAATTTTGTATTCTAAATTTGTAATCATCTTTGTGGTTCTCTTTGGTTTTTTGTTTTTTTCCCCTCTCCAAGAGGGAAGAAACTGTGTACTTTTCCTAAATAAACTGGTTTCAGGTGTTCTCCTATCCATTTTCCGATTGACTTGGGTTGTATTTATTCCTGCTCCTGTTCCCTCAGGTCCTGGCCAATCTCCCCAGGCTTGGTGGCATTTAGAGCCTTCACAAGTATACCAGTCACCAGGGCCATGGCCAGAACAG